TAAAACCTTAGGAAACTATTCATGTGATAGTTCCATAATAACAAACTAATAAAAATCTAATCGGCCAAGGAAGTGGCTTTAATAACTAAAAAAAACAAAAACACATATTTTATAAAACAAAAATTAATATAGAAGATAAATTGACTGTTCATAAAATTATTTAGAGCAAGAACTAGCAAAAATTATATCCTTATATTTATGTAAGTTTAGTAAATTAGATTTATATAATTTTCTTTGTATGTATCTAATATTAGTCTGTACTATTATATTAAATAAATGATTCATATTGTCACTCTTTGGAGCTCAATCATTATGACATTTAAATAATAAAAATAATGAAGAAAATCACAAGGACATGTCTTATTGTAAAGCTATATATAAACTATATAGACTTAGCATTTAATAAATTAGGAAAATAAGATTTGTTAGATTCTGGAGCGTAGCTTCACTTCAAACAATGTTGTCATGTGAATAATATATTAAATTTATTGGTATAGTTTCTGCTTTTACAACTTAAGGAAAAAGGCACTATATTAATAATACTGCTTGTCAGTGCATAAAATTTCTGAATACTAGAAGCTGCTTTTTCTCTGACATTATTTATTTTACAGTTGTTTTCATAAATTCAGGAATATCTAGCAAAAAATAGTTTGAACAAATATTACCAGTTCAATAAGTTTGTGATTCAGTAGTAATAAACTTTTGACTTAGATATGAATTACTGTAATTCATAAAAGTTTATCACTGCTGAATCACAAACTTATCAAACTAGCAATATTTGTTCAGACTATTTTTTGTCAGATATCCTAGAATTTATAAAAATAGCTGTAACTGAAACTTAGAAAACTCAGCTAGATGTAGTAGTTTTTTAATAATAATATTGTAACATTTATTAATATTTATATATATATGTTTATATAATATTATATTTAGCAATTTTCTGACTGATAAAAAGTCAAGGCAGAAATTGTCATATATAAATAGAAATTTATAATAGGATTTGTACTCTGCTACTTGTATATATATTGTAAATGATCTGTTTCCAATAATTGAGTATATTACAAAAGGTTTTGGAGTACAGTATATTATCAGTTATATAAAATTATATATGGTATTATATAATAAAAATTTTTATATATCTTCAAATTCTTCGTAAAAATAGATATACAATTAAGATAGAAGCATATGAAGGTATAGGTTTCAAAACCTTGCATGCTTGAAAATCTTAATTTGAATCTAAATAAATGAGTTAAAATATTATTATTATACAAAGTTATAAATATGAAAAAATTATAATAGTTTTGTAAATTTATTTGTAGAACCATTATAATAATCCTATAAAATTTATTCTAAGCTATTAAGCCATTAGGGCTATATATCTATTTAAAATTTATAAAGTTTTGATTTATATTATATAATACTACATATTAGTAAAAAAAGTTATATTTAAGAATATTACAGTATATTTATTTGTTAACATATGATATATATATATAATAAAATAAAATTTAATTTAGTTATAATTTACATTTTAAAAAATTATATAAGGATTTGCTATTCACATAAATAATTTATAAAAATTTTATATAACTTTATATATTTATAAAATTTTTATTATTTTAAATAATTATTTATTATTTTTAAAAATTTACATAATGCTTCATCAAAGACTTACTGAGCCTTATGCTATTAATAATTGTAATAGTCAAATTAATTCTTTTCAAAATATAACACAAGATCTTATAGATAAAATTGAAAAATATTCAGATTTTTCATATGATTATTTAAGAGTTAATGAAGCTTAAATCTGTTTTGAACATTATATGAATATTGTTAATTTTATTACAAGTCAATCATCTAATAATAAAAAATCTAAAACTTGAATAGATTTAGGAGATTTAATTAAAATAAGTAAAATTAGTTTAAATAATTCTAATATATCAATTGATTATTTACAAATTTATAAAGATAATGATTTTATAGATTTAGATTTAAACAATTTTTCAAATATAAAGATAAAAATTGTTGAAAATGATATAATTTTTAGCAAAAAAAATTTTAACAAATTAATTGATATAATTATTAATCAAACAATTCAAATTTGTAAGTTTATTATTTAAAAAATTTAAATAATTTTTAAAATAATATTATAAAATTATAATTTAATCTATCTATTTTATAGTACAACAAAAATCATTTTCTAATCAATTACAATTATTAACAAAAACTTTATATAAATATGAAGATAAAAATAATAATTATTTATTAGATTTTGATTGTTTTAAACAACTAATTAAAACAGAAGAATATCAATTAATTAGATTTTTAAATGAAATAACTAATGCATTAGTATCTAAAAAAAGAACTGAAAAAAATAAAAAAAAAAGCACAACAACAAATTATTAGTCAATGTTATCTTTTAGCGGAATTACATAATCAAAATATAAATAAATATAAAACTGATCTTAGTTTATATTTATCATCTTGTAGTTTAAGTTTAACTAGAATAGATTTTCTTATGAAAGCAAGAATAATGATAAGTTCAAAAACATTATATAATTTTAAAAAAAAAATTAAAAATAATCACTTAACAAAAATTAATAAATATTTTACTTCTCATGTAAGTAAATTTTTATTATTATTATTTTTATATAAATTAATTAATAATATATTATTTTTTTAGTTAAATATATTTCATTATTTTAATATTGTTGATTTTTATAATATTCATGAATTATGTCAACCTAATAATATAACACTTTTATCTGCAAATCATTTAGCAATATGTATAACTAAATTAGTTAAAAAACAATAATCAGTTTTAGCAATTTCAAATGAATATTTATTTTTTAATCCTGAAAATATTGAACCAACTAGAATAATAATTAATTTAATATCTAAATATAATGAATGTTTTGATAAAAGTTATAATAAATATAAAATAGAATGGATTTCTCAAAATACTTTTCAATCTAATTCTCAAAATCATAAAGATTTATTAACTTTACATATATATGATAATGCAATTAAAGAGCATAAAGAAGAAAGATCAATGAAAAGTATAAGAGTTGTTAAAGTTAAAAAA